CATAATTAATTAATTTCTCCCACTACTTGATGCCCTTTTCAGGTCCTGGTCCTTCACTGTTCAGGTGTCCTTCACTGAGGTCATCTCTAATTTCTACAGGTTTGGCCATGGAGAGCCTCATTGCTATTCCCAAGCGTCTGGTCCTCCTCAGGCATCTGTGTGCCCGCCCCACTTCAACATACAGAACACTTTGAAGAAGCTGGTTTAGGCTTACCTTCTAATAGAATCCCATTCCTGTCCTCTCCCTTTCAGGCACCCAACAATACCTGAGAGTCCAGGCAAAGCCTCTTCTTTCCTTGGACGCACAGATACTTTAGCATCATTTCCTAGGATGGGCTGAGCCTTCCCAGAAGAAGATAGCTTAGGAAACATGCAAAACACTGTTGTTTCTCCTGGGCAAAGGAACCCAAAACTCAAAACACGAAGACCTGGCTGTATTTCTTAAATTGGAACAGGGAAATAGCATTCTTTTTCTCTTTTGTTGATGAGTCTGCATCAGCCCCAAAGACACAAGTTAGTTATTTATTATCCACTCTGATGTAGTGCTATAAAGCTTTTAAAGCAAGTAAGAGAGCTTTCTCTTTTCATCAGAATTAACCCATTGACCCAAATGGATATTTGACACTTCATAAGTCCAGAAAACCCACAAAAAACATCTTTACTGAAGAGGTTTGAAATTAGACATGATATCAGATCTCTGATAAGTAAGTACAAAACCTCAATGTTTAATGAAGCTCCCCGGAAACAATTTATTTTTCAAGGACTATTCTTCAACAAATCTCCCATACCATTTTAAGTTTGTTTTTGTGAGACTTCTTGAGTATTAACAGTTAGTGGTCTCGGTCGCTGATTCTTACTCTAACAGTCACATGTCTAGTTCTTGAGCCAGAGGAATATCAGTTTAGCCAACAAGTTCTTCCAGGTCTTGGGACCCTTGGAAGATCTAAAGGCATCTAGAGTCCCACTCTCAGCTGTGGAGACCTCAGCTGTGAATATAATACCATTTAGATGGTCTCCAGCTAGACTATCCAGTAATAGACAGATAACTCTAATAATAAGAGTTACAGTTTGCTCTTCCTTCTTGCACATTAAAAGTGCAGACCTGGCCGGGCATGGTGGCTCACGCCTGTAATCCAAGCACTTTGGAGGCTAAGGCAGGCAGATCACCTGAGGTTGAGAGTTCAAGACCAGCCTGACCAACATGGTGAAACCCCATCTTTATTTAAAAAAAAAAAAAAAAGCTGCAGACCTTTTCTGAGGCTGAAGTAATTACATCTCAGAAAGGACTTCATGGGGATGGATGAAGGGTGGTAAGCAAAGAAATTGGTCAGAAATGGAAGCTTATACTCTATGGTGAGATATATGAGGTCACTAATAAAATGGGCCTTAGGGAAGACTAGGGACTCCTTGACAAGAGGAGTGGGTACCTTGATTTCCTAGGTCCCTCATGTTGGAGCCACAATAATTAATAACTGATGGTTACTGAATGTGAATTCTCATTAAAACCCTGGAGAAAACACTACTGTTCTTTCCATTTCATAGATGAAGAGATGGAATCACAGGGAGGTTACCAACCAAGGTTGTGTTGCCAAGGTTATACAGCTGGGGGAATAGAACAGGGATTTAAACTCGGGCAGCTTAGCTCTTATTGGTGATTGACGGTGGTAGGCTCATCGGCTCCGTTATTGGGAGGATCTGGAGGGATTTGTTGAAATTATCGTCTTTCTATAACACCAGCAAGGCTCCCCTGGGAAGTGCTGCCTGGCCCCCGCATTGTCAGAGCTGCACGGCCAAGCTTGTCCATGGAACCCTGTACATTTTTGATGTGTACAAAGGCAGCAGCAAGAGCTAAACATTTCCTTTTCTAACCTCCTTCACGGTTTATCAAGTAAAACAGTTACCTTAATCAACTCAGGGTCCAAAGGTTGGACGGACCCTTGCTTTTTCCTAAGAGAGATTTTCTGGGAAGGTTCTTAACTAAGAAAACACCTTGACAAAGGGGTAAAAAATTGACTACTTAGTGACCATCAGGCTGCAGGGCTTCTGACCTTTGGATTACTGACACAGTTCATCTACTTTGGCAGTCATACAGGATTTCTGGGAATTGGCACATTTTTATTAACAGCCTTTTAAGCCACCACACTTACAGGTATAGACTTGACATACTAATATAAACTTATAAAATGTTGGGTATTTTTTGGGGTAGAATGGCACACCTACCCAAAGAGAAATAAATCATAGACATTCATACTCATTTTATTCAAATTAGCTGTAGTATGGCTATTGACCATTCCAATCCAAGTGCATCCTATTTCTCAGACTACTTTTTTTTTTTTTTTTTTTTTTTTAAGGCAGTGTTTCACCACGTTGGTCAGGCTGGTCTTAAACTCCTGACCTCAGGTGATCTGTCCGTCTTGGCCTCCAAAAGTGCTTGGATTACAGGCGTGATCCACCATGCCCGGCCCAGACTATACACTTTTTTTTTTTTTTTTTTTTAGACGGAGTTTCACTCTTGTTACCCAGGCTGGAGTACAATGACGCGATCTCGGCTCACCGCAACCTCTGCTCCCGGGTTCAGGCAATTCTCCTGCCTCAGCCTCCTGAGTAGCTGGGATTACAGGCATGCGCCACCATGCCCCAGCTAATTTTTTGTATTTTTGGTAGAGACGGGGTTTCACCATGTTGACTAGGATGCTCTCGATCTCTTGACCTCCCGCTTCGGCCTCCCAAAGTGCTGGGATTACAGGCTTGAGCCACCACGCCCGGCGACTATACACTTTTTAATGCACTTGGGTCTAATAATTCTTAGAATGCACTGAGTTCCAGATGACAGCGTTGAGTGAGAATTAAAGTGCTACTATATTTAAAATTTGGTGTTTGTGACTATTAATGACTTGTAGCATGCAGTAAAGAGCAGGTAGCAAATGGGAGCAAATTATTCTTCGCTCCAAATAATTCTTTTTAACTGTAGAGTTGGGGTGTCTTATATCCATAGCCTTTTCTGGCTTATGTTTTTCCTTGTCCTTTCTCTGCACAAACCCTCCCCTTTATTTAGAATCTTTTCTGAAAAAAAATTTTTTTTTGAGATAAGGTCTCTTTTGCCCAGGTTGGAGTGCAGTGGCGCGATCTTGGCTTCCTGCAACCTCTGCCTTCGGGCTTCATGCAATTCTCATGCCTCAGCCTCCCAAGTAGCTGGGATTACAAGTGTGCACCACTATGCCTGGTTAATTTTTGTGTTTTTAGTAGAGACGGAGTTTTGCCATGTGGGCCAGGCTGGTTTCAAACTCCTAGTCTCAAGGTGATCCACCTGCCTTGACCTTTCAAAGTACTGGGATTTACCGACTTGAGCCAGCACTCCCGGCTTCTGAATTGTCTCTTATTGAAACCCTTTATCCTCCCAGGCCAGCCTCATGATGTCTTCTTTGATAACCCTCTTCTCTGTGGTCTTCCAACACTCAGCACAGGGTGGGTGTCACTCGCATGGTGTTCACCTCGTTCTCCCTGAATTTGCTGTTATTTGCTATTTATTTCACTTTGCCTTTTAGATCATGTATTGGCAAACATTTTCTGTAAGTGGCCTGGTGGTAAATATTTCAGGCTGTGTGGTCTCTGTAAGGTCTCTGTCATAACTCTTGATTCTGCTATTGAAGTGTGAAAATAGCCACAGTCAATGTATAAATGAGCTGGTGTAACTGTGTTCAATAAAACTTGATTTTTTAGACACTAAAATTTAAATTTCACACAATTTTCACAAGTCACAAAACATTATTCTTTTGATTTTTTCATCATCTAAAATTGTAAAAACTAGCTTGTGAGCTATACAAAAACCAGAAGGTGGATTTGGCCTGTAGTTTGCTGAATTCTATTGAAAATTATTAGTTCCTACAAAGCAAGAATAACATATTAGACAATGTTGTGTCTACCCTTTGCAATGCCTGCCACAAAACCTTTCATGTCATAGCTAAGTCAATTGTTATTTGTTGAACTGATGTGGAATGAAAAGGAAACAAACCTGCTGGCCAGCTGCAGGTGGCTTATGACTCTAATGCCAGCACTCTGGGAGGTAGGGCTGCAAGGACTGCTTGAGGCTAGGAGTTTGAGACCAGCCTGGGCAACATGGCGAGACCCTTGGCTCTACAAAACTAAAAAATAAAAAAATAAAAAAATTAGCCAGTCATGGTTGTGTGCACCTTTGGTCCCAGGTAATCAGGAGGCTGAGGTGGGGAGGATCACTTGAGCCCAGGATGTCAAGGCTGCAGTGAACTATAATTGTGCCACTGTACTTCAGCCTGGATGATGGAGCAAGACCCTGTTCCAAAACCAAACCAAACCATCCCTTCATCACTGAAAAATCAAAAAACTTGAGTGTTTATGATTGTTTCATTTATTGTTTTTTTTTTTTTCTCAACTACATACAAAGAAGTTTGCAGAAGTGAGAAAAAAGTAATGGATTTTGCTTGTGTCTCTTTATATATGAACAGTTAACCCACTGAAATACTATTGCCACTGAAGAGCCAAATGAGTAAGATAGTCATCCCTGCACCTGGAGGTTGACCAGAAAACTTTCTGAGTTCATTTGGAGTAGAAATGTTTCAAATTACACATTTGCTTTTGAAAAGTAAGTGAGGGAGGCTGGCGTGAAGAAAAAAAGAAAAGTAAGTGAGTAGGGCTTTGTCTTAGTTTGCAGAAAAGGAGCACAAAATTCGGAATTTGTCCCTAAGGAGGACAAAAACATGAGAAGTTTCTAAAATATTTTTTAGTCTATGTTGATTGCCAAATAGAGAGATCTGCTACGAAAGAAAGTACAGTGAAGCTGCCTATCTATTGTTGACTTCCATTTTATTGTTGTTTAAATATTTTTTATTGTGGTAAAGCATATATAATATACAATTTACCATTTCAACAATTTAAAAATGTACAATTAAGTGACATTAAGCAAGTTCCCAATGTGCAACCATCACCACTGTCTCCAGAATTTCTCATCATCAAAACTGTGTACCCATTAAGCAATAATTTCACATTTTCCCTTCCTCATGGATCCTAGTAACCACCATTCTATTTTCTTTTTATTTTTTTATTTTTCTTAGCAATAATCGTGCCTCGGATAAACCTCATTGACTACGATACTGCCACTGCGCAAAGCTGTCTATTTTCTATCTCTGTGAATTTGCCTATTCCTTTTTTTTTTTTTTGAGAAGGTCTTTCTCCATCATCTAGGCTGGAGTGCAGTGGTGTGATCATAGCTCATGGCAGTCTTGACCTCCTGAGCTCAAGTGATCCTCTAATCTCAGCCTCCTGAATCCTCTCCGGGGACTACAGGCACACACCACCATACCTGGCTAATTTTTAACTTGTATGTTTTGTAGAGACATAGTCTTACCATGTTGCCCAGGCTGGTCTAGAATTCCTGGGCTCATGCAATCCTCCTGAACGGTTGGGATTACAGCGTGAGTCACTGTACCCAGCCTGCCTATTCTGGATATCTCAGTACAGTCATTTAGTATTTTTCCTTTTGTGTCTGACTTAGAATAATGTTTTATGGCTTAGCATAGTTCACTTAGCATAATGTTTTAAAAATTTGTTCATTTTGTAGCATATGTCAGAGCTTCATTCCTTTTTATAGCTAAATAATATCTCATTGCATGTACATACAACATTTTATTTATCTACTTATCTGTTAATTTACATGGGTTATTTCCACATTTCCACCTTTTGGCAATTGTGAATAATACTAAAATGAACTTCAGTGTATAAGCATCTGCTTGAGTCTCTATATTCAATTATTTTGCTTATACTCCTAGAAGTAAAATTGCTGGGTAATATCATAATTCCATGTTTAACATTTTGAGAAATCATCAAGTAGGTTTTCTTTTTTTTTTAAAGATGGGGTTTCACCACGTTGGTCAGGCTGGTTTTGAACCCCCGACCTCTGGTGATTCGCCTGCCTTGGCATCCAAAGTGCTTGGATTACAGACGTGAGCCACCACACCCGGCCTAGAAACTGTCAAGTAGTTTTTGACAGTGTCTGTATAGCAATGTACAAAAATTTCAGTTTCTCCACACCCAGTCAACAATTATTATTTTCTGGTTTTAATTTACTATCATCATCCTAACCTGTGAAGTTGTATCTCATTGTGGTTTTGATTTGCATTCCACAAATGACTAATGGCATTGGGTATTTTTTCATGTACCTTTTTGGCTATTTATACACCTTCTTTGGACAAATGTCTAGTCAAGTTCTTTGTTCTTTTTTTTTTTTTTTTTTTTTTTTTTTTGAGATGAAGCTTCACTCTTGTTGCCCAGGCTGGAGTGCAGTGGCACAATTTCAGCTCACTGCAACCTCCACCTCCTGGTTTGAAGCAATTATTCTGCCTCAGCCTCCTGAGTAGCTGGGACTACAGGTGCACGCCACCATGCCTGGCTAATTTTTTTGTATTTTTAGTAGAGGCAGGGTTTCATCTTGTTGGTGAGGCTGGTCTCGAATTCCTGACCTCAGGTGATCTACCCACCCCAGCCTCCCAAAGTGTTGGGATTACAGGCCTGAGCCACCACACCTGGCCTCCTTGTCCATTTTCAAATTGTTTTTTGTCTTTTTGTTGTCAAGTTCTTTTTTTTTTTCTACCCTTCATTTCATGAGAGAAGGAGTCCTTTATATTTTCTGGATACTGGAACTTTATCAAATATATGATTTACAAATATTTTCTCCCATTCTGTAGGTTGTCTGTTCATTCTGCTGAGTGTGCCCTTTGATGCACCAGAGTTTTAAAATTTTGATAAAGTCCAGTTTATCTATTTTTTTTATTTTGTTGCCTGTGCTCTTGGTGTCATATTTTGGAAACCATTGCCAAATTTAAGGTCACAGAGATTTGCCCCTCTGTTTTTTCCTAAGAGTTTTATAGTTTTATATCTTAGGTCTTCGATAAATTTTTAATTTTCATATGTGGTGTGAAGTCATGAAGTAAGGATCTAACTTTATTCTTTTGTATATAGATGTGTTACTGTCTCAGCATCATTTGTTGAGAAGACTTTTCTTTCTTCATTGGATGGTCATGGTACCCTTGTTGAAAACTAATTGACTACAGATGCCTGGGTTTATTTCTGAACTCCTAGTGCTTTTCCATGGATCTGTATGTCTGTACTTACGCTAGATTACTGTAGCTTTGTAGTAAGTTCTGAAATCAGGAAATGTGAGTCATCCAATTTTGTTCTTTTTCAAGATTGTGTGGCTATTTGGGGTCCCTTTGCAATATTAATTTTAAGATTGACTTTTGTATTTCTACAAAAAAATATCATTTGATAGGGTTTACATCGAATCTGAGGATTGCTTTGGGAAGTATTGTCATCTTAAACATATTGCCTTTTTTTTTTTTTTTCTTTTGTGATGCAATCTTTCTGTTGTCCAGACAGAAGTATGGCGGTATGATCAGAGCTCACAGCAGACTCAGAACTTCTGGGCTCAAGTGGTCCTTCCATCTCAGCCTTCCATATTGTCTTATTTTTCTGAGATAGGGTCAGGATCACTCTGTCACCCAGGTTGGAGTGCAATGGTACAATCTTGGCTGACTGCACCTTCACCCATGTGGCTCAAGCAGTCCTCCCACCTCAGCCTCTTGAGTAGTGCACACCATCACACTTGGCTATTTAAAAAAAAAATGTTGTGTGTAGAGATGCAGTCTCACTATATTGCCCAGGCTGATCTTGAACTCCTGAGCACAAATCATCCTCCCACCTCGGCTCCCACAGTATTGGGATTACAGGAGTGAACCACCACACCTGGCCATATATTAAGTCTTGTAATCCATGAGTACAGAATGTTTTTCCATTTATTCGTGTCTTCTTTAATTTTTTTTTCAGCAACGTTTTGTAGTTTTCAGGGTAAGGCTTTTGCCTACTTGGTTAAATTTATTCCTAGGTATTTTATTCTTTTTGATGCTATTGTAACTGGAATTTTTTCTTAATTTCCTTTTAGATTGTTCGTTGCTAGTGTATAGAAATATAATTTTTTTTTTTTTTTTTGAGACAGAGTTTCGCTGTTGTTACCCAGGCTGGAGTGCAATGACATGATCTTGGCTCACAGCAACCTCTGCCTCCTGGGTTCAGGCAATTCTCCTGCCTCAGCCTCCTGAGTAGCTGGGATTACAGGCATGCACTACCATGCCCAGCTAATTTTTTGTATTTTTAGTAGAGACGGGGTTTCACCATGTTGACCAGGATGGTCTCGATCTCTTGACCTCGTGATCCACCCACCTCAGCCTCCCAAAGTGCTGGGATTACAGGCTTGAGCCACCGCACCCGGCCTTATTATTATTATTATTATTATTATTTATTTTTTTTTTTGAGACGGAGTTTCGCTCTTGTTACCCAGGTTGGAGTGCAATGGCTCGATCTTGGCTCACCGCAACCTCCGCCTTCTGAGTTCAGGCAATTCTCCTGCCTCAGCCTCCTGAGTAGCTGGGATTACAGGCACGTGCCACCATGCCCAGCTAATTTTTTGTATTTTTAGTAGAGACGGGGTTTCACCATGTTGACCAGGATGGTCTCGATCTCTTGACCTTGTGATTCACCCGCCTCGGCCTCCCAAAGTGCTGGGATTACAGGCTTGAGCCACTGTGCCCGGCCTGGTTCCTCCTTTTTAATTTTTTGGGAGAGTGCGAGAATGATTGGGGCTATTTTTTCTGTAAATATTTCTTAGAATTCACAAGTATTGAATTTTTGCTGTTGGTAAGTTTTTAATTACTGATTCAACTTCCTTACTTTTTATAAGTTTATTCAGATTTTTTATTCTGCTTGAGTTAGTTTTAGTAGTTAGTGTACTTGTAGAAATTTGTCCCTTTCACTCCTTGCATTTTGTTTTTTTTCCAGGTCTAGGAAATCTACCAAATTAAGCAACAAGCTAAAATCATCATAACATATAAAGCCATCACTTTAACGAGTCTTAAAATTTTCCAGTAATGTTAAAAAATATTCCTTGAATAGGTAGGGGAATTTTGGACTGAATAATTTGCCTAGTGCATAAATATTTAGGGTGTTTCTAAATTGCCTTTTTGCAGAGCTACCATTTTCTAAGACTCCTAACTTTTTAGTGTCTGTTAAGTATCTGATAAATACTTTAATCAATGAAAATTTTTTTGGAGTCTGTAACATTGGTCTCCAAAAACACATTCAAGATGAGAACTTTGACATAAATAATATGTAAAGGATATCATAGATAGATAAAAATATCTATTATATAAGGTTGTTGAGAACTATAATGTGCTAAAAAAAAGACTTTTATTATATTCATTCTTCCTTTGTCAGCCATATGAATTATTTACCTTTTAATATTCAGTTTATGGATACTTTTTTTCTCCAATCCTTCCTTTTTCCTCCCAAAGGAGAGTTAAGTGTTCTCTCTTTATGCTCCTCTAACATTCTGTGGATACACTGATTATATTTATCAGGCTGTGTTGTATTATTTGGTCATAAATTCTTAAAAACACAGGCAAATTTTTATTCATCTTTCCAACCTCAGTGCCTAGCACATAGATATTTGGTAAATGTATACAGGCTATAGGCCGGGCATCATGACCTTAACCATCTGAAAAGTCCTTTCTAGCTTGTCTTCAGGATTTTACATATTCAGGATTTTTACTATAAAGTGTCATAAAACTAAGTCTTTGGGCATTATGGAAGTTTTGTGGGCCGGGCTCGGTGCCTCACGCCTGTAATCCTAGCACTTTGGGATGCTGAAGTGGGCGGATCACCTGAGGTCAGGAGTTCAAGATCAGCCTGGCCATCATGGTGAAACCCCATCTTTATTAAAAAAAAAAAAAAAAGTTTTGTGAAGTTTTTTTTTTTTTTTTTCTGAAAGAAATAAATTATTTCTCATAAAGAATATATAAGATACACATACAGGTAGAATGAAAGATATTAACACCTAAACAAATGAATTAGAAATCTCAGATTCAGCCGGGCGTGGTGGCTCAAGCCTGTAATCCCAGCACTTTGGGAGGCCGAGGCGGGTGGATCATGAGGTCAAGAGATTGAGACCATCCTGGTCAACATGGTGAAACCCCGTCTCTACTAAAAATACAAAAAAGCTGGGCATGGTGGTGCATGCCTGTAATCCCAGCTACTCAGGAGGCTGAGGCAGGAGAATTGCCTG